ATTATTAGCAGATCCAAATTTCAATAAAACCAAGTCGGTTAGATGTAGTAAATTGAGCTGATTTACATCCAAAGGATAATTGTTGAGGGTATACTAAAAGTTAAAGTTGGGTTGACGGTGTCTGGTAATATTGAAAGATCCAGAAGCAAAGAAGTAATAGCAGCAATGACAACACTTTAAAACTAGATGAATTAGAAAGATTCTGGGAAATGAAAAGGATGAAGAAGAACCTAAACCAGAAGATGACATATGCGAGCAGAAGATATAAATACGACAACACGAGATTTAGCAGATGGACGATTTGTAGTAGCCATTCCATTTAAAAAGGAGAAAGAGCTGGAGAGTCTAGGAAGACAGCGGCTGCACGACTTATCAGTATGGAAAAGAAAGATTTGATACGAGAAAAGATCTAAAAGACGACTATCAAAAGTTCACGCAGGAATATCGCGAGATGGGGCACATAGCGAAGCAGAAAATGGGCCGGGCTGCAACATTATCGTCCCATCGCTGTGCAATTAAAAAAAGAAAAGAATACAACAAATTGAGAGCGGGCCTTTGACGCATCTGCAAAACAAATAAATGGTTACAGCAGCTCTGAATGACGTTATGCCAATTTGGGCCGAAATTACAAAAAAAGACATTGTAGTGGGCGTATGTGGCGTTATGTGATGATGAAGCGACGTCGAAAGATGACAAATAAAAGTCAGAGAGAAGATCAGGAATATCAGTATATTCTATGGAGAAACCTGCAAAGATAAAATAAAGAATTTAAACTACAACAGTCATGAAGGTTTACAAATAAAAGTGAAAGTGAAAGCAGCACCATTTTAGCAGTAAGAACGTTGCAGGAGATTGCAACATTTACAGGAAAAAAATCAATGAAAACGTACATGACGTCATAAATACCGATTTTATGACGATCCTGCTGACTGGAGGTCACACTATTCAAGAATGTAAAAAATTGCAAAGGGGAATTGATACAGCGTTAAATAATCCAGGATTTCATTTCTCTGAGAAAATGGCGACAACAATCCTAAAATACTGATGAGTATACACAGGAACAAATGAAATTATTCAAATCGAAGAAAATAGATAAATATCCTAAACTAAAGGATAATAAAAAAAATTCCACGGCTTTGAAGAAAAGCATAACCCTGAAAGTGAGATATAAACAAATAATAAACGTAAAAAAGCAAACCTTATAATAACAGACAGCAGTTAAACCGTTTGAACAAAAACAAAATCTGAAAATTAAGAAAAAGTGGAAAAATTTCAAAACTTCGATACATGAAGACTTAACAAAAAAAAGGCAGAAATCCCATGACGACCACAGAAAATAAATAACTCTACAATGGAGCAACAACTAGCCCAACTAAGGCCCAAATGACCATGTTGATGAACCAGATGCAGCAACAAAACAGCCGACTTCACGGAGAGAATAGCCTCTGCCAGAACAACAAAACGCTCCGCACGAATTAGAGGTCATATACGATGAAGTAAAACTAAATATCAGTGACCCCAAGGATGTCGACCTGAGTTATTCAAATCTCTACCCAAATTTGACGGATTAAAGAGCAGTATAGATCATGGAGATCAAGGTAGGTTTGACCTTCATGGAAGCTATAAAATCTTCTCAGAATCATCCAAATATTATAGCCCTGGGAATATTACGAACAAAAATCAATGTTATGACCAGCTGCTAATATTCTGACGAACTACAACCACCAAATTGAATTTTTTATTCAATAATTAACAGATTAGATCATACGTATGCGGACCAACGCTCATTAAGTATGTGCTTCGACGAAATGAAGAGAATCAATAGGTAGAAAACTTGCAGAGTTTCACAAAGCTAGGTTTCTAAGCAACTTACCTAGCCTTAACAAAACGAGATGTCCAATGATGACAATAACGAGGGAATGAAAACATACACTAACCAGGAAGCAGTAAGAACTTTCATTCTTGGGTTAAACTCTAAATATACCAGCGGTACATTGTATAGCCATAACCCAGGAAATCTAGAATCAGCATACGCGACAGCCTGCACCATTTTTCACGACAACGTTAGAGAGGAACTTGAGACACAGTTCAGACCTCTAAACCAACGTCAACATCATTCAAACCAGAATCAACCACCACATAGAGAAGAGGAACAATTACCAACCAACTTCATCGAGATCCAACAACAACCATCAGGGATACAATGCACGATATAGCCAAAATAATCACCCACGTCGAGAAGAGAGGTACCAAAATCAGTATAGACAACCAGAAATAATAATGCTGTAAGTGCCAATTATAATAATAATTATAGTAATACATATAAGATAGATAGGACACCTAACTACACTAATACGACTTCTCCGCAAGATAAGAAATTCCAAAGGATAAATAAATTAAACAGAGAAGATCTAGAATCAGTAGTTGTATCAAATTACGAAGAACAATATGAAACAGGCAGTACTTTTTTAGGCGAGTAAACGGGTTGCCCTGCTTACAAACAAAATGCGGCCTAACTGGCACACCCGTTACCTTATTAATCGACACAAGCTCCACTAACAATTACATAAATATAAATTGTAATATAGGAATATCTATTAAAATGAAACCATTTAAAACCAAAACCTTACATGGTTACTCAATCATAAATTCTAAAAAAATAATAACGATGTACGGACATCATTTAACATTTTACGAAATTAGGGAATTAAACGACCTTGACATTATACTCGGAGAACAGGGATTACGCCAAATGAAGGCAGAAATTAATTTATTTGACTATAGGTTGAAGTATAAAAAAAGAAGACTTTAGAAGTAGAACCAAAAATTAATTACACAATAAATAATGAAAAACTTAAAGATCAAGTAGAAGAACTAATGAAAAGAAATAATAATACTAATGGAAAGTTGCCCTTTACAACCACAATACAAGCAACTATCAAGACTGAATCAGAAGACCCCATATGGACAAAACAATATCCATATCCCATGTCCGATCACGACTTTGTCAAGAAAGAAATTGAGAAACTTTTAAATGACGGTATAATACAACCAAGCAAAAGCCCATATAATTCACCAATATGGACTGTTCCAAAAAAGGGTACCGATGACCAAGGGAAACCCAAGCGACGAATTGTTGTTGATTTCCAAAAAATAAATTCCCATACGATTACTGACAGATATCCAATTCCAGATATTAATATGACAATACAAAACCTTGGAAAAGCAAAGATTTTTTCCACAATAGACTTAGAATCAGGCTTTCATCAAATATTAATTAAAGAATCTGATCGAGAAAAAACAGCATTCTCTGTCAACGGCGCGAAGTATGAATTTATAAGAATGCCATTCGGATTAAAAAATGCACCCTCAATCTTTCAACGATGCATTGACGACATACTAAGAGAATACATTGGAAAGTTCGCATATGTTTATATTGATGATGTGTTAATTTATTCATCTACTGCAGAAGAACATATGGAACACCTTCGGATTATAATCAACGCTTTACATAATGCAAATATGAAATTTGTGACGAAAAGTCACATTTTTTCCAAGATACAGTCGAATACCTTGGACATATTATAAAACATAATAGGATAACAGTTGATCCAAAAAAATTGAAATAATAAAAAATTACCCACAACCAACAAATTTAAAAGAATTGAGTTCTTTTCTAGGACTAGACACAGCAGCTGTAGAAGCTTTAGAAAAAATAAAAAATGCATTACAAGAACAGGTTGAACTTTTCCAACCAGATTTCTCTAAACCTTTTAGTTTAACAACAGATGCAAGCAATGTTGCCATTGGTGCAGTTTTAGCACAAAATCGTCAACCAATTGCATTTATTTCACGCACATTAAATAAAACGGAACAAAATTATAGTACTAATGAGAAGGAATTATTAGCAATTGTATGGTCTTTACAAAAACTTAGGAATTATTTATATGGCGTGGCAGATTTAACAATCTACACTGATCATCAATCCTTAATATTTTCTATTTCCGAGAAAACCCCAAATACAAAATTGAAAAGGTGGAAAATTTTAATTGAAGAATATGGTGCTAAGTTAGTCTATAAACCTGGACACCAGAATGTCGTTGCAGATGCGCTTTCGCGTCAGCAAATCAACAATACAACAAATTGTTCCGATCACTCACTACAAAGTTCCCCTGTCGAAACTATGAAAAAAGTTAAACAACCACTTAACTCTTTCAAAAATCAAATAATTATTTTACAAGATAATGAAAGGAATGAAGTCCTCAATCAAACAATATTTCCCGGGCAATTTAGACACACAATATTTTATAAAGATACCCCGGATTTACTATCTAAACTTAAAGATGTAGTTAATCCAAAAGTTACTAATGCGATGAAGATAGATGAGGAAATACTATTTCACTTAAAATAAGAAATTATCTCCGCCTTCCCAAACTATAACCGGGTGCTAGCCCAAAATAAGTTAAATGACGTAACTTCCATAAACGAACAAAGAGAAATCGTCACACAAACACATCAACGTGCTCACAGGAACTACAAAAATAATAAGCAAGAAATATTGTTGTCCCAGTACTGGCCCAATATTAAAGAAATGTGTCGTAAACTAGTCGTAGGCTGTGAAATATGTCTACAGCACAAATATAAAAGAAAACCAAATAAACAACCTATAGGAAAAACTCCAATACCAACTCGAGTAGGAGAATATATACAAATGGACATATTTCATATAAACAATATGCTGTATCTTAGCTCAATAGATAGGTACTCCAAATATTGTTATTTACGAAAACTAAATACAAAGATAGATTGCCATGAAACTATAGAAGAAATACTCACACAAGTTTACCCAAATGCTAAATATCTCATGACTGATAACGATTAGATATAATACATTCAGTTACTCCAGTACACGGGTGCGTTCGAGATGGCAATCACGACAGCAGTGTTGCAAATTTGTCAAAGTATCACGTTCTGCGAGAATTTTTGGCAACACTTGCAACAGCATCACGTTCTACTGTCACTTTTTGCGCGCAATTTATCAAAATTTCAGCAACACAAAAATTTTGTCTGCAGAACAGTATGGTTGAAGAAAGGTTAGTGTAAATGTGATTTATTTCATATTTTATCAATTTATATACACAAATGTTTAAGTTATTGTGTTTTTACTTATTTGTAGCGAAAGATCGGGTTCAATAATAAAGTTACTAATAAGATGCCGGCTCGATATGGAGGCCGAATTTGCAGCCGGCAAAAAGAAAAAAGCGGTCCTTTGGGGTAGAGTCCTAGAGTCTATGAAAGCAGTGAATCCCGAAATAAAGGATTCAAAGGAGGCAATTCAGAGGAAATTTTTGAATATGTTGGCCTCGTACAAGAGGATAAAAAAGAGGAATAAATCCACAGGAAGGGATGCCACCAGCTGGGAGTATTTCGAAGAATTCAATGCTGTTTATGGCAGCCGCCACTCAATTGAGCCTCCATTGGAGAATTTGCTATCCTCCCTGGGAAGTCCCACGTGCGAAGACTCGGATTGCGGTGACTCGGACAGTTACCTTGGAAGTGCAAGTAAACGCTCCAAAAAATCGCAAAACGAGACATTAACATTTTTAAAGGCGGAATCTAGTCAGGAGCAAAAACGCCACGATGAACTAGTACAACTAGAGAGAGAGAAGCTAGAAATTGAAAAGGAAAAAATTTCCGTTTTGAGTGCGTTGCGAGAAATTCTGGCGAATAGAATTTAATTACATTAATTACCTGAAGTATCTGATCTCCTATAAACTTAAATTTTTTTTGCAAACTATTGTAGTACAAACATGAATGTGATCGTACAAAAAACATGTAAAACATTTTTTTTGTAATGCTATTTATTTTTAAATAAAAAATTTATGACGAAAATAACATTTTTAATTCATTCCTTTTGATAATACCTTCACTACTTTCGTTAATATTTTCGTCAACAGCCACTGTATCGTTGTTATATTGGTAGAAATTGTCATCGTCTGAAGTTGCATCACTGCTGTGGGATAATATAAAATTATGTAATATAGTACAGGCCATTACAATTTTCGAAGCACTCTTTATGGTTGAAACGTCGATGTGATTAAGTATTCTAAATTTCTGCCTTAAAAGGCCGAACGACTGTTCGACTAACACTCGTGTGGAACTGAGGTAGTAGTTAAACTTTTTCTCTTCTGGTGAAAGATGTCCATTATCCCTATACGGGACCATCAAATATTTTGATAGCGGATAAGCCGAATCTGCTAATATTACGGCCGTGGTCGCAAGCTGAGCTTCTCCGGAGGTGATCTGTTGGTAAATTGGGCTATTTTTCCAGACATTGGCGTCGTGACAGCTTCCAGGAAAGCCAATAAAGACGTCTAAAAATCGTAGGTTGCTATCGCAAATCGCCTAGATAGAAAAATAAATCTAAAATTGTATATTGTAATAGGGTATATTTATAATACATCGTTTTACCTGCATAGTTATCGAAAAATTTCCTTTACGATCATAATAGCTGATTGCATCTTTTTTGGGGGTGTTTATTTTAAAATGGATTCCATCCATGCATCCAACCACAAATGGAAATGGATTTGTTCTCTTTGATTGGAACTCTTCCATAATTTTTTGTTGCTCCACAAGCGTGGGCCAAAGTATTTCATTTTTTAGTTGGCATATGGTTTTGATGGTCATGAAAAAAAGTTTATGTGCTGTTCCTTTTCCAACGCAGAACCGATCAGAGAGTTCTCGGTACGTTACGCGACTATTGCTTAGCTTCCATAGAGTAAGATACAGCGATTGTTTCAGGGAGTAGCGAGTGTTAAAGGTTAACCAATGCGGCTGCAGAGCATGTGTCAATTTCTAAACAAATCAAAATCATTGGTTATATTATAAACAATTGGTTTTTAATTACAATACTTACGGCAAATGTGTGAGGAGTCATGCGAAAGTGGGAAAAGAATACATCATTATCGTACTGCTCAATTGTGTTGAAGAAATTGTGTACTTTTGTTACACGTCTTTTTTCCAAAATTGATTCCAATAAAAGATTCCGTTTTTTTCTGGCAATTCTTCTTTTTTTTTCATAATTTAATAAAAAATGTTCTTCGCTTTTTCCCATTTCATCGACAATTAAATGAATTTCCATTGAGCAAATTTTTTTGGCAAAATTTTGGCAACACAAACAGCACATCAGCAGAGTATCAGCAACGAAGTGTCAAATGTGCAACAGAGTTGCTGTACTGCTGTAATTATTACGTAGCTCGAACGCACCCCACCATTCAACTTCCAACGCTCAAGTAGAACGGTTACATAGCACAATTATAGAACTTTGTCAAAGTTTAGCAGCTGAAAACAAAACCGCGCCTGGTGAAGAAATTTTCAACGCTGTTCGAGAATGCTATAGGACTATTCACTCTTCCACGGGACACAAACCTGAAGACATATTTTTCAATAGGGAAAAATATACCAATATCAAGTATATCTTGGAGCAAAAACAGGATAAACTACTAAAATATCATAACAAAAGCAGAAAAAATATAACATATAAAACAGGTGATATTATATATAGCAAGACAGATCGACCTAATAAGCTTGCAACAAAATATAATAAACACAAAGTGAAAGAAGATCGCGGAGACACGATTTTAACAGTGAGGGGAAAGGTTATACATAAAGATAACATTAGGAAGCAAAGTACACAATGCAAAGAATAAGAGTCATAAACTTTTGCCTATTTATTTCATTGGCTTCATTTGCATTTGCTGAAAAAATAACAAACCTTTCAGGTAGAAGATATATTTTAACCGAAACGGACGACGTTTATACATATAATAGCTCAGCCTACCTGTATCATATAGCCAACCTTTCGACAATATCAGCGCCTTATGAAAATATAATGAGAACAAGATACAGTAACATACAATCCCAGGAAGAAAGTATTCTCATTAATAAAATAGAAACACTGAAAACACAACTGATACCATCCGAGCATCGTATCATCGTTGCAATAGTTTTGACTGGTCCAGCAGTTGGTCAAACAGTCCTCATACCCCGCATCCCAATGATACCCAACGACTTACCTTTCAATTTTAAAAGAATACAATTTCCGCTTAAATTATCTTTCGCAGTCACAATAAATAAATCACAGGGGACAAACATTCAAACACGTGGGGATCGATTTACGCCAAGACTGTTTTTCGCACGGCCAGTTATATGTCGCGTTATCAAGATCGGTTTGTGGCGAAAATCAATATGTTCTTCTGCCACAAGATAATAAAACAAAAAATGTAGTATATACAGAAGTTCTTAAAAATAATTAAATTTACTTTAAAAATTGTACAGATATAGTTTGGAACTCGAAAAAAAACATAGGTTTAATCCTGAAAATTCTGCGGGAACTCGACCATTCCGAAAATCCCGCAAGAACGGGAACTATGTGGGAAGAACCAAAAATCTGCGGGAAGTCTCTATTCCACGCGGACGAAGTCGCGGGCAAAAGTTAGTAAATAAATAAATAAATAAATTTGTAGAAACTTGGAACAAAAAAGAGCCAGAAAGTCAAAATATGAAACGCTTAATAAATAAATGTCGATGTGGTTCAATCAAATGATGGAGACCAACGCCCGAGCAACTGGTCCAGCACAGCAGTTTGCTATAAAATTCGGTATACCTGATTTTAAACCTAGTCCGGGCTGGCTCCAAAGGTGGAAGAAAAACGAAAATATACATACGGCTGAAGAATTTAAGCAAAATGTGCTCCCACTTTTACTACAAAAGTATGCGTTAGAAGATTTTTATAACGCTGACGAGACGGGTCTTATTTATAAAGCTCTGCCTACTGGGTCCTACGTTGCGGGAAGCCAAGCATCCAGTGGGTTTAAGACGCCAAAAGAGAGAATCACATTGCTTTTTATAACCAACTGTATTGGTACAAACAAATATGTGTATGCAATCGGCAAATATAAGAACCCAAGATGTTTTAGGGGAAAGATCATTCCTATCCCGTACAATATTTAATAAAAAAGCGTGGATAACCAGTACTATATGGAGAGAAATTATAAAAGAGCTAGATGATAAGTTTACCATAAAAAATAAAAAGATATTACTCTTAATTGATAATGCTTAATGCCACAAATTAGATTTTGAACCAAAAAGCATTGAATTGTATTTATGCCACCTTTTACTACAAGTTTAATTCAACCTTTGGACCAAGGTATGTTATATTTGCCAATTTTAGTTCATACCAAAATTTTTTTTCTTTTTTTATATGTTACAGCAATTATCCAGTCCTTCAAATCACATTACAGAAAGTGCCTAGTCCGCGAACAAGTTTTAGCTGCAGAGGGCGGAATAATGGCTAAATTTTTAAAAAGCATCTCTATTTTGAGGGCTTTGTATATCATCAAACGCACATGGTGGCTTGTCACTCCACAAACAATTCAAAATTGTTTAAAAAAGGCGGGAATTCACGATGGGATCCATGTGGCAGACTCATTAGATGATATTAATTCAAGTGATGTATAAGTATATTGTGAAACCGACGGCTTTGCTTCAGATGATGTTTCCGAGACTGTAGACTACGAAACTTTTTTTAAAAACATAGTTGATTTAGAAAAAGAGAACTGTTTCGGAGCTACAAACGAAGATGATATAATAAATGAAATACAGGAAGATGAAATTGAAGAAAACTCTGCAGATAGGGCCGTGCAGCCTAGCAGAGAAGGAGCGCTGCATGCCTTGTTTATACTGAAGCAGTATTTAAATGACAATGATAACATGGAGAGAGATTTAGAGATAATAGACAACGATAAAAGACACACAAATTCTGATTATATCATGCAATTTTTATTTCCAGACATGCAACTCAATTTCAGCGAATAAAGTTTGACACACAAACGAACATGCTAATTTTTGCTATCTCTTATGTTAGTTTGATTCTCGACAGCAGCAGAAACTTTTATATATATATAGAGAGATACTTATATAAGAAACATATTTCTATAAGCATACACTGAACTGATAACATTTGGCTTATGATAAGTAAAACATTCGATAGTTTATGTTAAACAAACAAATACAGTTATTTATTACACTAAACTTTTGCATAAAATAAAAAAAAATAAAAATTAACAAAACATTAAATTTATTTCAAAATCAACGCATTCAAAGGGTAATTTTTTTTAAGCCAAGTAATTGGAAGCTTCAAATTGATTGGGAAGTTACAAAATAGTTAATTTTTTTTTTTTGAACAAGTGATTTGTCTCGTTCATTAAAGAGAATTTGCTCAATGTTTATTATGTTATCATTGTCATTTAAATACTGCTTCAGTATAAACAAGGCATGCAGCGCTCCTTCTCTGCTAGGCTGCACGGCCCTATCTGCAGAGTTTTCTTCAATTTCATCTTCCTGTATTTCATTTATTATATCATCTTCGTTTGTAGCTCCGAAACAGTTCTCTTTTTCTAAATCAACTATGTTTTTAAAAAAAGTTTCGTAGTCTACAGTCTCGGAAACATCATCTGAAGCAAAGCCGTCGGTTTCACAATATACTTATACATCACTTGAATTAATATCATCTAATGAGTCTGCCACATGGATCCCATCGTGAATTCCCGCCTTTTTTAAACAATTTTGAATTGTTTGTGGAGTGACAAGCCACCATGTGCGTTTGATGATATACAAAGCCCTCAAAATAGAGATGCTTTTTAAAAATTTAGCCATTATTCCGCCCTCTGCAGCTAAAACTTGTTCGCGGACTAGGCACTTTCTGTA